GAATTAAAATAATTGAATTAGGGATCCCAGCCAGTCTTGCGCCAGACCTTGGAGCCTGGGAACCTGGTATCCGCGACACGCCCTGCAAACAGCTTGTCACGACGCACTTCACCACTTCGGCAAGATGCAACGCACGGCACTGTGCGGAATCGGTTACAACGAGGAAACGCACTGCATCTCACATTGCATGCAATCTTGCCCCCATGCTCGGATATGCTGCTAACTGAACACACGAAGGCTATGAAAGTCACACCCTACTAACTAACCCTGAAACCCTTTAACCGACTCTAAACACACGTTAAACCATACGAGCCATCATCAAATAAAAATGGAGGCTCAGTCGAGTCATTTCTGATTCAGACAGAGCTCAGGCCACCGCCGCTTTCCGGGGTCTGGAGCACAGCCGACCAACACAAACAGCCCCCATTTACCGGCTCGAAGCACCTTTGTGCAGCACGTGTGACTTGCAGCGGGGCAATTGGCTAAGTCGCTGCGTGGTTTCCACAGCTCGGGCCACTGCTTGCACCACGCTCTCAGTCCGGCCTCCCCCTTGGGCATGAAGGGATTCCCGGTCTCCACCTCAAACACCACGCAAGCATAGGCCCACATATCCACAGCTGCAGTCAGCAGCTGCTTTCTGACACCGCAGTCTCCATCGCCATGCACACGAGCGGGCCACAGCTCCGGAGGTCGATAGGCAGCCGTGACATACTGCAGGAACCTGGGAGCCTGAGAAGCCTTCTGGAGCCGTGCCATGTTCTCACTCATGCCGAAGTCGCACACCTGCACCTGATCTGTGCAAGGGCACCAAAGAACATTGCCAGGTTTCACATCCAAGTGTAGGATGCCTGCGTCATGCAAGGTCTGCAGTGCACTTCTCAGCTGAGCTGCCACAGACCACGTCCTCGGCTTGCCATGCGCCGCAGGATTTCGAAGTGCGGTTGCCAGGCTGGGCCCACATAGGCTAGTAGCCATCCATGGCCAAGGTCTGCCCGTGACACCCGAGCTGACAAGAAGCGGGAACCACATCATCTTCTGCTGCGGAACGGCCTTCATTAGAAGCTTCATCTGCTCCACTTCGTGCCTGCAATCCGCGGGGCCATCGGGGCCACGATAAACCTTCACCGCCACGTTAAGGCCGCTTTGCGGATGCTGGCAACTGTAGACACTGCCATAGGCTCCGCCTCCAATTGGAGCCCTTGCACAATTAAGCTCAAATGGGCCAACGCGACCGCCAGATTCGTCAGCGGCAGGGGGGTCCTTCGCCTCGTCGGGGCCGCCCGCACTGGTCGTGGAGCCCCGCATCCTGATGCCAAGAACGGCCAGTGCACTTCGCTGAGCCATGAACTCATCTTTGCTCCTCGCCATGAATGGTGCCTTCTGCTTGGCGGTCATGCCCTGCCAGACTGCGCCAAGATGCTTCATCTCATTGAGAAACTCGTGCTTGGGAGCGCCTTTCTTGACTTCGGAGTTTTCCTGGAACCAGAGGACGAAGGCCCTTCGAGCCTTGGGGACCAAGCCGTCTTTCACAGCCTGCTTCCGCAAGCTCTGCGATTTGCTGCCACCATGCTGGCACCCCCGGGGCATCCGACGAGAAGCCGTCTTGAGACTGGTTTTGCCCCAGAGGCGTCTGGTAGGCCTCCATCGCCAGCCCATGTCGAACCCAAGCAGGGAACCTCAGAGCCTGGGAACCTGGGGCCATAACGGCTCGCTTTAATGCATTCAGGCGACTACAACAACATCCTCGGCGAGTCCTATTTCAATGTCATGCCACAATAAGAGCAGTTCGGCTTTTTCAGGCGACAGTAGTCACTGCTACACACTACTGACAAAACTGAGCCCGGCAAAAGGTCAAGAGCCTGAGAACCTGGGAGCCTAGGTGCCTGAGCTGGTGCCTGAGCTGGCGGCTTCGGTCGAAGTGAAACATCATCACTGCGGTTGATCGCGGGGGCTATCTGGCTCAGCAGGTGCCTCGTCCTGGTCGTCTTGGTTGGACAAGCTCTCCAGAACGTGCGGGAAATGCTTCTTCACCGCCTTGGCATTATCGTCCGAGTAAAGAGTGGATCCCTCCAAAGCCATCATTCCGCAAGCTGCGCGATCAGCAACCGCCTGGACCCACGACATGTGCTCCTTGTTGAGGCCTCGGATAATTTAAATAAAAGCAAATGACAATGATCTGACGAATCTACTGGACAAGTAAGGGTGCTGCAAAGCCCGTGGTATGCGATGCCGGCAGTCAAAGAAGCCTCCATCAGAGCACCGGTGCCAGCCGTGAGGTCAAACACTGCATCCGCGCAAAACTCCTCAATGATGGCATTCCAATATGCTATCGGCTTCGACTCGTTCCAGAACAAGGGTACGTCGGAGCCGTGGCGATCCTGCCAGTCCTCTGGCGGTGTCGGGACGTCGCCGGTTGTTGCCGGAGCAATGATCTTCTTCTTGGTGTCTGCAGACACGAGGGGCATTTCAGAAACCGCACGGTACTCCACGCCTGAGTAAGTGCTTTGGTACGTAGAAGCCTCGCCGCAGACTGTGAAGGAGCCTTTCTTCGTCGTCTGAATCTTGGTGCGTGCGACCGGGAACTTAACCGCTCCTGTCTCCACCTTCTTTGCAGCCAGCGGAACGCGGCGAGTGCGACCAGTTCTCGGCGGGCACCCACCTGAGTACACGATGGTGCACTCCTCGGTGTGCTGCTGGTTCAGCAGGAGGTCTTCCTTAAAGAACCAGGTGCAGCCTTTGAGCCTTGGAGCCTGGGAGCCTTGTCACATCACCCCGCCAAGACTCGGACACGCGGCGAATTTCCCGCATTCTGCCGTCGAAGAGTACGACGAAATCCTCGGGCCCAGAAATGTCTTTGGCAAAGGCACAGATCTCTTTCCATTCCTCGCTTGGCGGAGTGCCCTTGAGACACGGGTCGGTACCAGCCTCTGCCAAGAGATCCGCACTGGCAACGATCAGGCGGTGCGAAGAGTTTAAGGTGCCCTTGTGCGTGAAGACCTTGCCGCAACCGCTGAACGCATTGACTAGGCAGTCCTTCGAGATCTTGTTCGGTACCGAGAACGACACGAACTTGCGGCGTTCCGTTTGCACCGCCTTCCACTGCCGCTCACGCTAGACACATTCCTCGGGTGTGTCAGCTTCAGAAGCCTTGGCCAGGCTTTGGAGCAAACTCGGAGCAGGAGCCGCAGATGTGGCACCAACGGACTTCGTGCTGTTGGCGAACTTGTCGACAATGATCTTCATCTGAGTGATAAGCGCACATGGCTCCTCGTGCTCCGTGTCATCCGAGCTTCCAAGCTGTGCAGCTGTCAATGCCTTTGCAAGGCCATCTTCACTCGAAGCCAGCGTGCAGCAATCCTTGTAGTACTTCCCCGACATCAGCTCCAGCAGCAAATCCAAAAGCATGCCAATGGCTTTGTTGAAACCCTCTTTAACAGCTCCAATCTTGGACTGCGGAACAGGGCGCTCCACGTCCTCTGGGTCCTCGCCGTCCATGTCGTCCTCTCCAGCAGCCCCTTGATCAGCATCAGCATGGCAGAGATATTTCTCCCAACATGTGGAAGGGCAACGGAGTTCAGCCAAAATCCCTGTCAGCTTCACCTTGTCCGGCTCAGGCAACTTGTTCGCCAGCTTTGCTGCATAATCGAAGACCTCTGTCAGTGTTCAAGCTGCCGATGACTTGCAACACTCCGCAAAAAAAAAATACACACGCTAGTCAGAATAGTTACAATGCCTGCACCACCAGCATGCGCGACAACCAAAAGCCAGCATCGCCTGTCTTCCGGTCTCGATCCAGAAACTTCTCGGTGCATTTAGCTGGCGTGACCATGTTCATGCGCAGGGCCAGCGTCAAGGAGTCGATCATCCAGGCCGTCAGGTCTACAGCGTTTCTGGTAGCAGATGCGAGCTTGTTGGTCAGCGATAACAGCTTGCTCAACTTCGAGTACTGACTGCTCAAGATGCCCCGCCCAAATTCCACCTCCAATCTCCGGGCAGCCTTCTCCACGGGACCGGATGGACCCCGCAGCACTGCAACAGCTGCTGTGGCAGCCTGGTGTAAGGCCTTGTTGTACAAGGTGTTGTTGTACCTCAAGTTGTGTTCCTCACCATCCTGGACTTTTTCGACCTTGAGCAGCTGGACAGTCTTTGCAAATGTCCAAAAGGTGTCGGACAGGCCAGGGTGCCCGAGTGCCTTGACTTTCTCTGAAGCAAGATTGCGACTCTTCGCAATCTCCCCTGCGCTGGAACACAAGCGAACCTGTATCGTGACAGTGCAGCCACACTCCCACAAAATCTCCAAAACTGCTTTGTCCTGCCAAGTGCAAGCACACATCAGTCAGATGAATCAATAACATGTCATGTCATGTGAACACAAGCAGCAACTGTCCTGGGAGACTAGGGCTTTGAAGACGGCAAAGTACCAAGCCCACAACACAAACACGCCGCTAGCAAGATGCAACGAGCTGTTGAACTCTTCGTGAATCACGTCAGATGCTGACTCCGTGAGGACAATCATCGCACAAGGCCACGTCAGCCGGTTTCGTGACGTTTTTTGTTTCTTCTTGGCAGCTTCACGCGATACAACTGTGCTGAAAGCAACTTTCTTGGAGAAGAAAGCGTCTTCGAAAGTTTGGAGATCCTGCCAGCACACATCCTCAGACGCACTGGCAAAAGCTTCGGTGGCCAGCCACAGCGCGAGGCCACTGGCTTCGTAAAGTCCAGATGATGTCAGGGACGCTTGGCAGTCATCTTTGCTCCACACAGCCTGACAAACGACAACGGTCAAACAATAAATGACATTGATCGACATGCGCCCGCCTTGTATCCGGTCAAATCCCCCATCTTGGCTTCTGCGTTGATGGCAAGCGGCGGTGTCTTGAACATCTGCTTGGCCTGCGGAAACTTCAGAGGGAGCTGGCTGCGGACCTCGGGCAGGCACGGCATGCAGCACTGTTAGCCGCGGGACGGGACACGGTATCAAGAACTCAGCGAAGGGCCCATGGCACGATGTTTGCCAGGGCTTCTTGAGCACTGGCCTGCTTCACATGGCGTGCCACACATCATCATCATCACACACGTCATACTGCTCCGAAAATGCTGAGCTCAGAACGGTTGGGTCGGTGGGCAAATCCGGCACTTTTGCCATTGATCGCGAGTACAGAAGCCTGGGAACCTGGGAGCCGAGTAGCCTTCCACGGAACCGTTTGGAGTCTTGCGGTGCAGCGCAAGGCAATAAGACTGCTGCAGTGCAGGACATGCTGCAAACAAACACAAACTGACGTCGACAGCGGTCCTTTGTAGTCGTGGGACCTGCCACAGTTTGTCGACGAGCGGCTTGAGCTTTACATGTCCATTTAAATCAAGTTGGCAGCAAAGTAAGGAAGCATCAAAATCCTACTATGCTGCTGATGAGTCATCTAAACATGACGACACCAAGCCGGCGCCACATGGACCTTGGCGCCTGGGAGCCTAGGAGCCTGGGAGACGCCTCAGCTGGGCATCAACGGCAGCGAGGGCATCCTGGTCGCGGCGGAGCTGCTTGTTGGAGACGTCCACCTGTTCCTTCACGCGCCGTTTGTGCTCCACCAGCTTGGAGCGCTGAGCCTCAAGGAGAATGTCTGAGTGCTTCCTGGGGTTGCTCATGCTCACGATGACCATCTCGATCCCGGACCTGCGTACCTTCAAGTTGCCGGTGCGGATCCGCTCTGCCAGGTCATTGACCTTGAGCATCCAGAAGTACCCCATCGGATGGAGAACCGGCGGTGACTGGTTGATGACGCCCTCGCAGCTGAACTCGAGCATGTCCATGTCGAGCTGCATGCTTGAGGGCAAAAAAACCCAACGTGGCCGCTGCGTGCGTGGACGAAGAAACCGGGAACAGGGATGCACCGGGATCCGGAAGGAACGGATCCCCCTGCGCAGCGAACACGTGGTTCCGGGCCAAGAAGTTCACGAGGGCAGATGTGTCCTCCTTGCTAATGTCGAAGCCGCCGCCGCCGCCTTCCTCCGACTTGACCGCCGTGTAGCACATGAAGCCCAAACCCCCGCCAAGGTCGGGCCCGGGTGCAAGGGTCTGCCAGGCGCGGCTGGTCGTGGCCTGCACCATGACGTGCCTTGATCGGACGCAATACCCTGGACCCCTAAACCCCTAAACCCCTGAAACCTTGAACCCCTGAACCTCTGAACCCCTGAGCCTATAATTAATATAAAATTAAATAACAATAAAGGAAAAGACTTCCTGGCGTCCGATGTACTCGAATTCAAGGCTCCAGTTCGCCTCGTCGTGGAAAGGCAGCTCCTGGCAAGGATCCGAGAACAGCGGAACATAGTAGCCGCCATCCTCCACCACAATGTCTCTTGCAGAGCACGCTTCGGCCAGATTTTTCTTGGTGAACAGTGTGAGAACCACGAACTGGGTCTCCCCAATGGCTTCTGTCAGCTGGCGGCGCGATGAGCGCAGCTTCGCCTTCACAGGCTTGTCTGCAGCAGACGGGGCCGCCCCCAACTTGCGCATGGCTTCCTTGCGCTGCCATGTGATGGCGTCCAGTTTCGTCGCCAGAAACAAGGCACGGAAGCCGATCTCCGGTGACTCGTAATAGGAATCCTTCTCAAACTCGGAAGCCGCCCCCACACTCTTCTCGTAGTCACTTGCCCTCAGCGCACAGTAGCCGAGACGCGACCAAGATCTCTGAGACTGAGTCTCTATCACTGGGTTCTCCTCCGGCTCGGCGATGATGGTGGGTGCCATATCTGCGGCGGCTGCTTTAGGATCGGCTGCGGCCATTTTCGCAGGCGGCATTGGGACCGAGTAGCCTATGTGAGCCAGGGAGCCTTGGAGCCTGTTGCCGCAGAAGCCTCGTATCAGATGCTGATAGTGACATGGCAAGACTGACACAACACACTGTCGCATGCAACTGTCATGTTCTGACAACTCAGCCACACAGCCAACCATGACTGAAATGAAACGACTTTGGGCCTGCCCCTCGACGTCCAGCTTGTCGACGACAACAGCCTCAGACAATGCAGTGACAAGTGACATGTGCATTGAAGGGTCATTTGCGTGCGTTGAAGGGTCATTCGTGTGCATTGAAGGGTGACAGGTGCTTCTTTCATCATTAAGGCACTGCTAACGTGACCCTTTGATGCACTCAAAACACCCTTGGATGCATGGAACAAGAGCTGCCGGGACCCTTGGATGCATCCAAAACACCCTTGGATGTAGCGCCGCGGCGATTGGCGCGAATCCTGCCTGTATTGAAATGAAAGAGGAAGGCTATTGCAAGGGACAAATGGAACGTCAATACACCAGGGATTGGCACCAATCCATGGTGTATTGCATCCTACCATTGTCCTGCAATTAAACAACTGCAGGGGAAGTGAATTGCAAGGCCGTTTTGTCCTGCCAATACGCCCCGGATTGGCACCAATCTGCAGTGTATTGAGCAGGGGCTTGCAACAGGCTCTGTTGCCGGCACCTGCTGCCCCAGACAAGGTTAACCCTGCCTTGCGACACAGGCCCCCTGTACATTCCTGTGCGAACGACTAGACTTAAAATGATTCGACCCCAGGAAAATTCCTGCCTGCGAACCTGGGAGCCAAGGAGCCAAGGAGCCAAAGAGCACTGTCATTAACTGCTGCAGTACAGGACTATGACGCACGAACTTTCTTGGGTTTCTTGGGGGGCAACTGCCTCATCTGTACACCAGCACCGGACAATGTCCGCTTCTGGGACAACCCGCGGACGGTGCGGAGGAAATTCCAGATATCGGCCTCTCCATTGATCTTGTAGGTGGTGCGCCTCTTGGTAGCAAATTGAGTGGGCAGTGGTGTGCCGATAGCAACCCGCCACTTCGACTGGGGCAACTTCTCACAGAATCGCAGGGCCTCGACGATGGCACGGGTCCTGACTGATTGAACTTAAATGAACCCAAACCCAACCCTAGACAATAAACCCTTCAACCCGAAACCCTTGCACCTCAGTGTCTGTGCCACCGAGCAACAGTTGACAGCTCTTGGCGATCTCAAGGCCGACCAGCCTCGAAGTTGCAGCTGTGTTGAAGGACAAGAACGACTTCTCAGCATCAATTGTCGGATTGTCCAAGTATGCCAGAATCGCCTCCCTGGAGGCAAGCACTTTGCCACAGCCGTACGCAATGATCAAGGCAGGAACCTGGGATGAAACACGTCAACGTGTACCAGCAGTGACGATCTAAGCCTGGCATCATCCGACTTTAAACATTTTAATTAAAAGCTTGGGACCAGTCGGTCGCTGCGGACCGTCTCCACATCGGACAGTTGTTCGAGGACCAGGATATCGGCGGATTCATACTCGTACGGTCCAAGAATCTGGAAATGCTTGTTGCCTTGCAGCGACTTGCTGTCCGTGTAGCGACGATAGACCGGACATAGCTTCAGAGCTCGGTTGCGGAGGATGCTTTGCAAGACGGATGACCGATCCTTCTCGTGGCCGTGCTGCACCATGCGCAAACCGCCAAGCCGTGCCGCCGTTGTTGTGTAAGCAATCTTGCCAGAGGATCGTCTCCGCGCTTCCTCTTGGTGACCTTGGCTGGATGACAATGACAATGTGTATGACACTTCAAATGACTTAGCACGGAAAGCAACCGTTGTGCTGCTGAGTCACCGTCATATTTCTGCTGTGTGCGTGCACGGAAATTCTCCAAATGCTTGAGGGCATCTGGTGTGGGGCGGGCGAAAGCCCAACGTGTGCCAGCAACGCTGTTCTGGGCAGAGGCAGACGCTGCCGGCAAAGGCAGGATCAAGCCCGGCACGAAAGAGGCCGGCTTCCACGACCTGCCTTTCGAAGCAGCTGCCTCTGCTCTCTTCGCTGCCTCGGCGGCGGCTGCTTCACGGCCTCTGACAATTGCAGCCAGAGTTCCAGAACGTGCCTGGCGTGGCTTGCTGGGCCCCTGCTTTCGCTCTTTGTTGTAGGTCATGCGGAACCGACGCCCAAAGTGACGAATCCACAGTTCACCACAAAGAACCCCGAAGTCAGTTGGGGTCAGCACGGCACCTTCGCTCTCCGGCTTCCGGAAAAATTCTTCCTCTCGCTGGGGACCTGCAACTGCCACCTCGAGGATGGAGGCAATGGTTGAGCCATTTGGAGTGAGGGGTCCGGAATGCGCCTCCAGCTGTGTGAGCAAGTGTCCCAAATCCCTTTCCAGCGTGGTCGTGTTGATCTTCAAGGACAAGAAGAAAGCAATGAGGGCATGACAATCCTCTGTCCATGGAAGTTTGTGTGCATGCCGTGCACGCCACGCTGGCCGAAGCAACCAAGACCACGCATGTTTGTTCCCGAAGCCTGGGTCCTTTGACTTAGCTGCTTCTAGAAGAGGATGCAATTTGCGAGCAAATCGTCCAAACAGCACGGCTGTACCGTGCGAAAGCTTGAGCATATCACAGAGCTTGCGTGTAGAGTCCACTAGCTCCTGTTGTCGGTTCGTCTCCTGCCACAGCCGAAGGTTGAATACCTGCAGAGCCACGGCGATCTCATCCTCCGTCAGATCTACTCGCAAACGCTCCAGCATCGCCTCGACCACGTGCGCCATAGTTCCCATGATCTGCCTTACATCAGAAATGCCGGCCTTCGTGCACAGGTAGTGGACTCTGTTGCCATAGAAGATCCTAGGTTTGCCACGGCGGGCATACCAGCGAAGCCTACTGGAACACAACCGCTCTGACGACGACAAACTTGCAGGGTAGTTGCGGCTCTGGTGTCTGGATCTCCTCGTAAACTAACTGGGTTGCACACCTCCTGGGAGCCTGGGAGCCTGGAGCCGCGGAGCCGTCCACGGAACTGGGAACCTGCGAGCTGTCGGAGAGGATGTATCCATCCACAAATAAGAACCGCTGGCGCTTGGTGAACTCTTCCAGCACTCTGGGGGTGCAGGATACATCTGGATCCTCAATGTCAAAGTTCCTGCGCAAGAAACCCAGGCACTCAGATGTGTAGTCGCAAGTGAGTCCACAGCGCATGAGGGCTGCTGCATTCATGTTTTGCAGGGCGCGCTCTGCTCGGGAGCGAATCTCGACCGTGTTTCTCTCCTGTGTGTCATACAACGGACATTTCAACATACATGACATACATGCGTAGAGTACATACATACTATTACATTACATACATACATGCATACATACTACATACATAATACTTACATACATTAAATTACATACATACATACATACATACAAACATACAAACATACATACTATACATACATAACATACTACGATACATACACACATACATACAAACATTCAATGTTTAAAATAATTTAATTTATTATTATTAAATTAGTTCATACTCAGTCATACAATACATACATACATACATACATACATGCCATACATACATACATACATACACACATACATACATACATACATACTATACTATACATACATACATACATACATCATACATACATACATACATACATACATATATACATACATACATACATACATACTATACATACATACATACATACATTGTATTATGTTAATAATAATATGTCTAATAATACCTACATGCATACATACATACATACATACAATGCCAATACAATACATACATACATACATACATACATACGTATCATACATACATACATACATACATACATACGTATCATACATACATACATAATACATACACACATACATACTTTAAATTTCTTAACGCTACACATACATACATACATACTACATACATACATACATACATACCTACATACATACGTACATGCATACATACTTACATCCATGCTTTACTTACATAATACATACTACATACATACATGCATACATACATACTCATACATAATACTTATATACATACATACATACATACATACGTACATGCCATACATACATACATACATACATACAATTCAATTTAGATACTACACATTGAAAGTGAATTACCATGCATTAATACATACATACATACATACATACATACATACATACATACATACATATCATATACATAATACTAAGACTACATACTTAGTTATTATTGAATAAAAGTTAATATATTATTAAATAGCTATTAATCATTGTCATTAATATTTATTAATCTAAATTATTATTATTATTATTATTATTAAATTTATTAAAATAATAATTACGTACATACATACATCCGCACATACATGCATTAATACAATCCATACTAAGACTAAGATTTAATACACAATAATTAAATTAAAATAAATAATAATTATTAAATTTAATAATTTTAAAATTTGTTTGACATAAGGACAAGACTCGTCAGCAGCCTGCATAGCACATAAGCCCGCCATCGCACGAATCATGCACAAGTACTTCAGCATTGGTGTGGCCGACGAGTCAAACCGAGGTTGGGAGAACGACAACGCTCGGATCACCTTCTCCACACCAGACTGGGAGCCATGGAGCCTGAGAACCTCTTGCTGGGCCGCCATGAGCCTGGCCTTCCAGACTTCTGAGTTCTGGATGTCCGGGATAAGCGCATGCTTGCCCTTGCCGGGAGCAAACAAACGCTCCCACTGGTCTTGGAACTCGGGCATGGCGGGAAGAGGGTCCTGGTAGGCAATACGAACCTGGTGCGCAGGATCATGGCTTACCCAGACCAGGTTAGGATACTGGCCGCCAGTGACCAACAACCTTCCACACTGCCGGGCAGATGTGCACTGATCGGCTGCAAAGTGCCGCACGTGCAGCTTCAAGCGGCTGCAGGACTCCTCGTCAGTTTTGCCTTCCGGATCCTGACAGGCCCTGTCAATGACTATGCCTATGCTGTCTGCCATCACCTGACTCTTGTCCGCATCGTGCTCCTCCAATTTGTTTTCAGGAACACTGGCACCTGTCTTGTAGACCCCAAGCAAGCCATCGGCGACAAGCGGGCCATCCTCCGAGCCTTGGGAGCCTTGGGAGCCTTGGGGACCTTGGGAGCCTGGAGCCGCTGACTGCTTGGCAGTGCGCGGTGGAACATCGCAACGGTACCTCACCAAACGATACTCCTTGCGGTCGTCCACGGACAAGCTGATGCTGGTGGCTTGTTCGAGACGCTGCTTGCGAACACTCTTGACAGCCCAGTGCATAACAAGAATCATGTTCTTGAGACCTCAGATGATTAATTAAATTATTTGTCCAATTTTAAATTTAAATGTGCCAAAATAAAATGTCAACAATCTGAAACCTTAGGCCTTTTAAAGTGCTGCATCCTGGCTCACACTGTCAAGCTTCGTGTTCCTGCCAGCAGCGAAGTCTTCCGTGGAATAGAATTTCACGGCACCTTTGAAAGAAGATGCTGTCCGGCACGCCCGCCACGCTCGCAGCCAATCTGCCGGCTGAGGAACGTTGCCGGAGAAGAGGTGCTGATGCTTGATGCTGTAAGGCAAGCACTGTGAGATCGGCGTGTCAGGAGCTAGGTAAACCTTCGTGGCCACCTGGTGAACGAAGGTCTTGCTGTGAGCGTGTATGCAGCATGCCTGCATCGCACTCCTGCCAAAGTCTGCGACTGATGCCTTAAATCACAGCTGACAACGACAACATGATGCGGTCCTTGATCGGACCTCATAGGCACCCCACTTGGTAGAGAGGCGACTGCCCAGCCTTAGGCATTTAGGGCTGCGAAAGTTGGGCTGGTCACGGTCAGCCTTAATTTGATCACAAAGGGGCTATCCGCTCGCACTACACTGCACAATTCGGCCGGACTGCAACCTCTTCCGCTCTGCTGGGTTCTGTGCCAAAACATTCATCAAGTGTGCACAAAAGTGACAGCCGATGCCCCAATCGCCTCCTCGGCGAGCTGGTCTCTGGCCCAGCCAAACTGTCCGCTGCTGCTTGCCCCAAGACGTGTGGGTGAGGCTTCCGGCTTTGCTCCAAACTTCCTGGAAGCGAAGGAACCTGACTGACATGTTGGGATTGTATGCAAACGGACGAGATCAAGTCGAGAATGCCGGAAGCAAGAACCAACCAGCAACTGCAACATAGTCAAGTAGCAAGTCTGCCACAAACAATAACGATCCAACAGAGAGAGAGAGAGAGAGAGAGAGAGAGAGAGAGAGAGAGAGAGAGAGAGAGAGAGAGAGAGAGAGAGAGAAAAAGAGAGAGAGAGAGAGAGAGAGAGAGACGGAGAGCACGAGAAAGAGAGAGAGAGAGAGAGAGAGAGTGAGAGAGAGAGAGCGAGAGAGATAGAGAGAGAACGAGAGAAAGAGAGAGAGAGAGAGACAGAGAGAGAGAGAGAGAGCGACGGAGAGAGAGAGAGAGAGAGAGAGAGCCACCGAGAGAGAGAGAGAGAGAGAAACACGACAGCAAGATGATAAAGAACCAAAATGAAAAAATAGATTGACATGTAATGTGTATGCATGCATGGCAGGCATGTAAGTATGTATGTATGTAGTATGTCTAGTTGCCCGGTTCAGAAACCCTATTAATAATAAGACCATTTATGATTTAAATTTCTATTTAAATATTAAATAAAATTATAAATTAAATAATAATTTAAATTAAAATTAGGGTTTCTGAACCGGGCAGCTTGCATCGGCTGCATTTCTCGTCGCCACCACGATGGCGAGCCAAATGCTCTGCATCGCTCTCAGTCGCGAGACCAACATCGCCACATCCCTTTCCGGTGTCGTCGTCGCCCTCCTGAGCCAGGCCTTCGCCGGACTCGAGCCGAAGCTTCTTCGGGGCCGCAGGCACGGATCCTTGTGGACCTCGTCTTTTTTTTGTCGGCGTCCGGTCCTGCTTCCGGGAGCGTAGTCCGAACCGAGCGGCAAGACCACGCAGGGTGCGGCTACCCACTGGCATTGAAATCCTGGGGGCCTTGGAGCCTTGAGCCTGGGAGCCTGAAGCGACCGCGCAGCACTTACGATGACAAGCAAACGCAACCGTGGCAACCGTGCTAAGACTGGAACTGAATCAGACTCTGCAACTGGTCCAACCGACTCCGACTAACCCGAGAACCGCGCCTCCAGCTTCCCGTTCGATCCGACAGCGAGCAGCTGCCTGGCAGACGTGAGGGTATTACCCCGAGTCAAGCAGCCCGAATGGCACAACACTGCGAACTCCTATGCACACTGCGGCGGTTTGTTTCACTGGGAGTCGGCAGGGTGACCCAGTCTAAATAATCTGTACTGCTCGGAGCAGGCTTTCCCGAATTTTGCACCCGGCCTCACCTAAGTCAGTCTATGATGCCAACTCCGAGTGGCCAAATTAGAAAACGCATGCCATTCTCCGTCATAATATGACGAATTAATGACTACTACTTTGCCCAGCGATGGGCAAGACGGGACGCCAATGTGGCCGTGGCACCCTTCCTCGAGCACTTCTTTGCTGCCTGCGGTCTCAAGACTTTCTGCCAACGCTTTGCCAAAGCTGACATGCCTTCAGCCTTCTGAGCCTTTGGAGCCTTTGGTGCCTTTGGAGGCTTCTGCGCCGATGCAGCCTTTCGCGCCTTGGGAGCCTTCCGTGGCTTGCCATGGCGCTTGCGGCATTTCGCTGCTGCGCCGAGCACAACTGAAGCAGTTATGCTTGGCGCAGCAACGGTGCTGCACAAGGCTGTCGGCCGGGAAGCTTTGGGCAGGCTCCAGTTTACCAACGCAAGCGCAAACTTCATTGCCACGGCTACAATCTGCACATGCATCGTGTTGCCGCCCATGCTGGCGAGCTCCTTGTCGGTCACTTTGCTGGGAAAAACCATACGGTGAATTGGAAAACCGTGCAGCATGACTTTTTCAAGCGGGCTAATGATCCTTCCAGCTCGTGCGGATACCAGTACGGCCCCAGGTGTAACAGTAGGCAGGGAGCCATCGGTCCGCACCCGGGCTCGGTTCACATTCTGGGATACATCCGCGACAAGCTCCTTACTGCCTGCATGCTTTGTGCAAATGATGTCCCAGGCATCACGCTCACGCGGCAAATGCAGGAACAACGTGTCTGCGCAGCAGGCGACTCCGCTCTCAGTGCAAGGCCTCCGACTCTCACTCTTCAACCGGCTGCCCTGCTGCATTGAAGCTTTGCACATCTTGTGCAATTCTTTCCACTTTGGAGCATGGGAGCCTGGAGCCTGGGAGCCTGGGAACCCACGGTTGGAAGCTTGCGACCACTTCCGTTTGCGGCTTTCCTGGTACTGTGCCACAGCAGGGTGGCTCGCCGGTAGCAGTCTATCCAAAAGATCGACTGCGTCTCCGGAAGCAACTGCATCCAGGACTTCCGCCCAAGCCTCACGAAGCCAGCACGACATGTCCTTTGGCGAGATGAGGCTCACATCTTGCCGGACCCCGATGAAGTAGTACCTAGGCCTCTGGATGGGCTCCTGTAGCTCGGCAGGGTTCATCAAAATCATTTCGACATGATAGCCTGTGGACCTGAGTGCCGCCAGAACCTTTGCAGAAACACGCTTGATGCCTGACACATTCTCCAGCACGAAGCACGAGGGCCGCACAAGTTGGATGCGTGCAACGACCCCATAGAATATTTGAGCCTGTTTTTCCTTGAGGAGCCTTGACTTATTGTGGAGCAGGCTGAACGGCTTGCAGCTGAAGCCGGCAATGTACAGGTGAACGAACGGTGCCTTGTCAGCATCCAGGACACTGTGGAACAGTACCGAGGGCTTGGTATTAGCCTCGATAACCGACCGAGGACCAGCAGCCACCTCACTCCCAAACAAATGCTGGTGCGTGATGCCGAGCTCCCTAAGGCCATGGATCGGTGCATCAATGCCACTGCAATCAGTTCCCACCAACAATCTTTGTGGAAGTTTGGCCGCCCCGAGACCAAAACGGGCATGAGTGGCACCGATGCTGGCCTCGGTGGCACTCTGAAAGCCGGACCCCCAGCCGTCCAGCCACTGCCTCAAAGTGCCTGGAATCATGGCGGCAGCGACTCTACTGGGCCTTGGAGCCTGAGAGCCTGGGTGCCTGGGTGCCTGGAGCCTTGAATGCAACGGTAACGTTTAAATTGCTGCACTTGCTGACAACTTCAAACTTCGCGACGAGTGACTGGCACTGGGACAGAAGCAACGGCGATGATCCCACCAGACCAGTACCCCTCAATGACCCTTGGATGCACACAAAACACCCTTAGATGCAGTGCCTGGCCTGATCGTTGCATCCAAGGGTCATCCGGGTGCATTGAAGGGTCCTTTCAAGTTTTGGTGTGTGCTTTGCTGAAGGAATACAGGTGGTACAGGGTGGGGTTTAGGATAAAGGTGGCTTGGTGTCGAGGGTTTCGAGTGTAACCTGGGTTTCAGCAATTGACCCTTGGATGCACACAAAACACCCTTAGATGCAGTGCCTGGCCTGATCGTTGCATCCAAGGGTCATCCGGGTGCATTGAAGGGTCCTGTCAAGTTTTGGTGTGTGCTTTGCTTAAGGAATTTACAGGGTGTACAGGGGGGCTTTAAGGATTTAGGTGGTTTGGTAACGAGGGTTTCGAGTGTAACCTGGGTTTCAACTATCATCGACGAACAACAATGACGAGTTTGAAGACTTGTATCAATCTTTGTGGAAGCTTGGTCGCCCCGAGACCAAAACGTGCTGGCATCGGTGGCACTCTGAAAGCCCGAACCCCAGCCATCCAGCCACTGCCTCAAAGTGCCTGGAGACGCACGGAGGGCTGGTAGACATGCAGCCTCAGGGGCTTGGAGCCTGAGAGCCTGAGAGCCTGGGCGCCTGGGGGCCTGGGGGCCTGGAGCCTTGAATGCAAAGTTTGAATTCTGCACTTGCACAACTTCAGACTTCGCGACGAGTGACTGGCACTGGGACAGAAGCAAAGCCGATGATCCCAGCAGTAAAGCCTCCCCCTCATTGCAGGAACAATCTGGCGGGACAACAGGATCCCTGGCCCAGATTTTGCCCCAGCTGGCGCATTAGCCCATTGGCCCAGCTGTCATCTGCCACTGCCTTGGCAGGTTGGCCTCAAGGCTGAGTTCCTGCGGCCCGACACCCGGCCAACGGTGCCCACAGTGACGTAACGGCAGCGTACACTGTGTGGGTAGGGTCAAAATGCACACTCTACTAGGCCTTGGAGCCTGAGAGCCTGGGTGCCTTGGTGCCTGGAGCCTTGAATGCAACGTTTAAGTTGAATGCAGCACTTGCTGACAACTTCAAACTTCGCGACGAGTGACTGGCACTGGGACAGAAGCAAAGGCGATGATCCCACCAGACCAGTACCCCTCAATGACCCTTGGATGCACACAAAACACCCTTAGATGCAGTGCCTGGCCTGATCGTTGCATCCAAGGGTCATCCGGGTGCATTGAAGGGTCCTGTCAAGTTTTGGTGTGTGCTTTGCTTAAGGAATACAGGGGGTACAGGGGGCTTTAGGATTTAGGTAGTTTGGTGTCCAGGGTTTCGAGTGTAACCTGGGTTTCAGCAATTATCGACGATCAAGAACGGGGTTTAGGGTTTACTTTCATTTTAACTTATTATTTAATTAAATGTTACTTAATTTAAAATAATAATTTTGAAATTAAACTTTAACCCTAAAC